AAGTAGTCTGATTATTTAATTATATGAACAAAACAAGATAACATATGTAGGAATATAATCCATGCATGAAGTCTACATAGAAACAAAATGCACAAGGATCATAATTCATACGGAGTGTTTCTAGTTTCTAAAGACACACATAAACATGCATGAATACGTGCAGAAAGAATATATATCCACGAAGAATATTTAGCCTATATATAATTAATACTCCCTCCGTTCTCAAAAACACTTCCTCTTTCATTTTTTTCACTTCCAACAAAACACTTCCCTTTTCTATTAAAAAACCACTTTTACCCCTACTTTTTCATACCCTACCTATCACATCATACTTTTTCTCTAATAATCTATCAATCACATCTTACGTTTACCCATCACATCAGAGGCAAAATTGGAAATCAACTATAATTTAACACTTCCTTATTTTTGTCCCAAATCAAAATGGGAATGGTTTTTCCAAACGGAGGGAGTATTTATTTGCATGGAGTATTGTGTTTAGAAACAGGTTATATGCTCACTCACTTTGAGTGGCCGCCGCAGAAGACGTTGTCTCTCTACAGTGCTTCGTTCGTAAAAATTAATTTCTATCTCTAACTCCCCCGAGTTCGCCTCCCCCCGCGACCCAGTCTCGATCCTAACTCATCCCACACCCACATCAATTCTACTACGCAATTTTATTTGACTTTAGGAAAAAAATGACCGCAATGTGAACTAAGTTTGTGGATCCAATTGACGTAGGTGAAAAAATGGGTTGGGATAGGTGTTGGGTAGGATTTACCGTAGAGTAAAAACTGTCAATTTTGGGAATAAAATAGTGTAGATATTTTAAGTGGAATAGTCTCTCTTGCGGCCAGTCAATATAAGTGACCATAGAATGGAACCATTGTGTTTATAGGCTACGAGGCGGTATTCCTTCCTCACTCATTTCGTTCCTCCATGTAGGGCAAATGTGTAGTATTCGTTTTTAAGTTTTAATTCTGCAAACATTTTTTATTTATTTTTTTAGCATTTGTAATTTAATTGCAATTTTAAGCGTTTTAAAATTCCTATTTTATTGTTTTTGTAATTTTAATGAGGTATTCGTTTTTTTAATTTTTTAACTTTTACAATCCTTTTTATTTTTTATAATTATCCATATTTTTTATTACTAAATAAGTATTTTTATTAAATTTATTTGAACTTCAATAAAAATGAGTAAAAGAAACAGAAAAGTAAGGTCAGAAAATGATAACATTACAAGTATTTGGGGCGGGGCTAAAAATGAAAATGATGATGTGACAAACAATAAGGCAGGATGAGAAGGCACCACATTATAAGAGCATCTCCTTTCTTCAACCATTAAAACAGAACTTTAGGAAATTAATTTAGCAACAATTTCATACAAGGGGAGAACTAAACTTTAGCAAGATTGCTATTTCAACCAATGGATTAAGTTATTTGTCCACCAAAATTTATATCTCATTTTGTACAGCATATGTATGCACTGATATTTTGTACTAGTGTGATGTTAGTGTGATATAGTTTACATTGACAAAATATGTCAGTGCAAATTTTTTTAATTGAACTAACATTTTGTGTCAGTGTAAACTGTTAAAATGTCGATACATTTCTTTAAGGTACAACTTGAGATACACTTTTTGATGTACCCTCAGCATCATTGTTACCAATAGAATTGGTATTTATAGCAAATGCATTTGATCTCCTAAAATTATTTAGTTGCCTATATATCTCCCACTTGAACCCTGGGATCTTCTATAGCAAATGTCACTTAACTACATAGGATGTTCTTTCAAGATAGAATAAAATAAAATTTATGAATTTAAAAACTACTTTCTCCGTTCTCAAAAACACTTCTTTTTTCATTTCCAACAAAACACTTCCACTTTATGTTAAAAAACTACTTGTACCCTTACTTTTTCTAACCCTACCTATCACATCATATTTTTCCTCTAATAATTTATCCATCACATCAAGGACAAAATTGGAAGTCAACTACTCCCTCCGTCCCAAATTATAATGTATGTTCACTATTTACAGGGTCAAACTTCATTTACTTTCTCTATTTTCGTTAGCAATTTGATACTCCCTCTGTCCTAAAATGTTCTTCTCACTCACTTTTTACTCGGTGAAACTTTAATCACTTTCTTTACATATTTTCATTAGATATTTGATAAAATAATATAGTCTTACTACCACTTGTTTTGTAGAACTTTTGATGTAGTTTTTAAATATATAAATTTTATTTTTAAATTTTACACCTACAATCAAATAAATTGAATTGAAAATAAAGTCGGTCAAACTTCGTAAAATGAACTGCGAAGAACATTATAGGACGGAAGGAGTAAAATAAAGTACTATTGTCACTACTAGTTTTGTACTCCCTCCGTCCCAAAAAGAATGGGACGGTTTGACTTTTTGGGAAATTAAGGGAGAGATATTTTGGTATTGACTTTCTAAAAATACCCTTGATGTGATGGGTAAAAGTAGGATGTGATGGGTAGATTATTAAAAAAAATGTATGATGTGATAGGTAGGGTATGAAAAAGTAAGGGGTAAAAGTGGTTTTTTAATAGAAATGTAACAAACTTTACGGGACGCAGTTTTTTCTAAACGTAACAAATTTTTTGGGACGGAGGGAGTAGATCTTTTGATGTAATATTTTAATATGTAATTTTTATTTTTTAACTATATACCATTTGTCATATAAAATGATTTGAAAATAATTTCAGTCAAACATCGTAAACTGAAACAGGCGTTATAAAATAGGACGGAGGGAGTACAATTTAACACTTTCTTATTTTTACACATAGTCAAAATAGGAAATCTTTTTTTAGGACGGGGGAGTATATTAAAAGTTCAACAAAACAAGTGATGACATGATTATATTATTTTTCTCAAATGAATTACAAAAATGGGTCAAATATGGTTGAAATTTAATCGTTTGAATAGTAAACAAACAATTAAAATTAAGACGGAAAGAGTAATAAATTGATATAGAAAAATGCTAGGGGTACACCAAAGGTGTATCCCATATGTCCCCCACCCCCTCCTTGTCCACTAAAAAAGGCAAAAAAAATTTAAAAAAGTAAGTAAATAAAAATCAAATAAAAATGTGTGGTGAAGAAGGAGGTAGTATACATTTGGGTACACCTTTTGGTGTACCCCTAGCATTGCTCATTGATATAATGTACTCCGTATATGGTTGGAATAACATTTACCAACCCATTTTAGTGCTCTAAGCCGTCATAAGATTTCATCTCAAAATAGCTTGTACTTAAAGGTGCTTCGAGGAGTGTGAAAACATTAGCTATCCATTCATTTGCTTTCTTTATACCCCTCCATCCTAAAATTAATTTCTTATTTGATTTTTCACGGTCTCCAATTTGATATTTTGATCATTAATATCTCATTTTTTATACAAATATATTTTATAAAAATTATATATTTCAAAACTATGTTTCAAAATAAATCTATTGCTAATCAATTTATATGAAAATTTAATGTATTTTTACGGTCAAAGTTTAAAAAGTTTGACTACAAAAGTCAAACTAGGAAGTTAATTTTAGGACGGAGGGAGTAATTTGATAGAGTATAAAAACTTTACTGAGGGGCTGTTTGGCAACTTCTGAATAGGTAAGTGCTGAACCAGTAAGAGTTCTGAACCATTAAGTGCTGAACCAGTAAGAGGTCTAAACCATTAAGAGCTAGTATATTGCTTAACTATTCAGAGGCAAATGTCTGATCAATTCAGATAAGAGGTCTTAACCATTCAGACTCTGTATAATACTTAACCATTTAAAGGCAAATCTCTTAACCATTCAGACATCCGAACCATTAAGAGGCTGAAACAAACAGTCTGAACCATTAAGTGTTAAACCATTCAGACATTTAAACCATTAAGAGGCTGAAACAAACAGCCCCTAAGCCTAGAGTTATAAATTTAAAATTTTTGTTTGAATTGATCCTTTCACATGATAGCAAAGTTTTATTGACAAGATTTGAACCTCACTATCATTGTCTGCATGTGTTAGAGTATAAAATTTTCTCTAAGCTTTTAGTTGAGTTGCCCATACCATTTCTCCTCTTTCTTATGCATCATTTTCAACCGTATAATTTTATTTTTTTAGTTTTTGTGTCAAATCAAATGTAAAAATTTTACTAGAGGAATTAAAAAATACATAATATGTGTTGATTGATTCCTTAACATGTACTCCGTGATAGAATACTTAAATTTAATCATACATACTTGACAATTCTGTTAACGTAGTTAGTGATGAAACTATGACACTAATGTAGATTTTCTGTTTAGAGTTTATTATGATGATAGAAGTGAGATTAGGACTCACGGAATAGTGAGATTGGGAGTCACGACATGAGATGGTGTGTTAACCTCTGTCTAATGGTCTCTTTATATATACACTCATGGAAAATTATAATTAAGTGTTAAGGATAATTACGCTGCTCGAAGAATTATCAATTAAACACATGGAGATATTAAAGACAGTGATGAGTTAATTGGATAAATAATACTAACTCACACCACATCAAAAATTTGTGTCATACACATAGTAGTATAGTTACAATGCTTGAGTGACATGCGTTTTTTTTGGGGGAATTATCTTACTGTATAAAATGCATTGTTCACTGATTGTCTTTTGAAAAATACTAATCACAAACCCAATGATTACAAATAAATAAATTTATATTTTAATTTTTACATTTTAATTATTTAAAACTATTTTATTTTCCTGGTAAGGTGCAAATATAATAACATTGTGTATTGTGTTATCTTTGTCTTTGTGTCTGTAATATTTGTCCATCTATTTGTCTTGCAAAAATACTCTCATTTTATTTGAAAGAAAATATTATTTGTTACTTATTGCTTAATTTTTCTCTATATAATACTCCCGACGTCCCAATTTATATTGTCTGTTTTGGTTAATGGTGTTGGACCGAAATTATATTCAAATTATTTTATATGAAAAATGATGTAGAATTAAAAAATAAAAATTATATGGTAAGATATACTATATTAAAAGATCTACAAAACTAATGGTAACATTATTATGTTATTGTATCATATGATTAACAAAGATAGAAAAAGAAAGTGAAAAAAAATTGATTATGTGAATAATAAACATGCAATTTAATTTGGAACAGAGAGAATAAATTTCCATGGCGAACTAGTTCTACTCGTACATTGTTTTGATGCCAAATCAAATAAGCTTTTATTTAATTTAGGACTGAAATATTTTTACAACTTTTATACCTATAAAATATTTTCGGCATTAGTGTCATACTTCGAAGTAGTTCTACTCCGGCATTAGTGTCATATTGATCACTCTGGTCCAAATTCTCACGACTTTATTTTTAAAAATCTCTAAGAACTTCATACTAATGAGTTGGATCGAACAATTTTAATCTTGAATCCCCGGTTTTCTAATCCAATGTGGGAGCTGCTTTAAACCAGCAATGTGAAGCACAAAAATAAATTCGACTAATTAATTACTTAGGTGATATTGCTATTTTTTAAAAATCACTTGGCTATTTTTGTATGCCATGTTATCCCAAAATACTTGTGTAGAAGTGTATTTTATCGTAATAGGTGACCCGAAACATATGTGAAAAATTTTAAAACATACAAAATAAATTGACAAAATGTAGTACTCCCTCCGTCCCAAATTATAATGCATGTTTACTATTCACAGGATCAAACTTCATTCATTTTTTTTCTCTATTTTCGTTAGCAATTTGATAAAATAAAATATTATTGTCACTACTAGTTTTGTAGATCTTTTGATGTAGTTTTTTAATATGTAATTTTTATTTTTTAATTCTATACCATTTGTCATATAAAATAATTTGAAAATAATTTCAATCAAATATCGTAAACTTGAGACGGAGGTAGTAGTAAAATATTCTTGCTCGCTTAGGAGAGAAAATATTTACTGTATTTTGAAGCTCCCTTACATCATGAGCCCTATGCGACTGAAAGGCCAGCCAGATAAAATTTTTGAAATGATACAATAACTTTGATAAAAAATCACTACTCTATGAAGATGACAAGCCATGAAATTGCAACCCAAAAACCACATTCGTGTTTGCTACCACATCAGAATCGCTACGTCTACAAATTTTCTTCCTAGTTTGACCATGCACCCATTTTGACTTTACATAATATGCTCCCGGCACGTTAGTTGAGTGCCACCATTGCATCATTCCAAGCTCCACATCACTCGTAGCAGCAATCCTCTCATCAATCAACGACGTCAAGCATTTGCATCCCGAGACCAACAAATCCAGGCACGTACATCATTTCACTCTCAAAATATCAACTCAATTTGATTGGATCCGGTGGGGGAAGATGGTGAGAAATGAGGAAGGAAATGTGGGGGGGAAGAATAAAATGGTTGAAAGGAAGAAAGAGTAAGAAGGGTTTGGAAGATGATGAAAGCCATACAATGGACAAGTGAGTATGAGGGTGCAGGGGAATGACAATAAAAATGATAATTTAATGTTCTTTTGCCAAAAAATAAATCAGGAAAAAATTTATTTATCGACACAGAAAGGAAGTGTGGAGATCAAGGACATTGAGAGAATTGTGTGGTTGGAGTTTACTCAACAAGAAATTTTGGACAATCTAGTGTGCGACAGAATGTCATACACAAACCTATATCATTAAGTAAAAAATAAGAAATTTTAGACAATCTAGTGAGCTTCATTGCAGACAATTGAAAAAATAGCGAAGTTCTTTTTTTTTTTGAAAAAAATACCAATGTGAATATAGGAATTTGATTTAATATTGATAATAGGAATCAATATTTTAAAAAAAATAAAATAAAAATTGTAAAGAAGTTTAAAGTTAGACCTTAGTTATAAAAATATGGAACGTGCATAATTGTCAAAAATTTGATTCTTTCATTTTTTTGGGTGCACAGCCACTTCCAAGTAATGCTTTGGGAAATGCTATGTAAAAAAGATTTGCCAGAAAACTTAATCTAGAAAACTAATTTGCATCATATTTTATGTTTTTAATTAAAAAACATGATAAACAAGTTTGCACAGTTGATCAAACCATAAAACAGAATGAATAGTACAATCTTGATCAAACCACAGAACAGGTTAAATAGTACAAGCAAAGTAGATCAAACCAGAAAACAGAATGAATAGTACAACCAATGTTGATCAAACCACAAAACAGACTGAATGGTATGACCATGTTTGATAATTATTATTTTTTTGAAGTTTGTGAAATAAGACAGTTGGTTTGACAAAGAGAGTATAGATTAGAGTGCGTTCTACTTTTCTTAAAAGGGCAAAAGTCAATTTCCCTAAAACTATAGAAGTGGTAGACAAGTGAGGTGCGGGTATAAAAGTTTTTTGGGAAAGCTCTCTTGTGCTAATAGGCAAAAAGAAGAGGAAGAAGAGATAAGGCACACATCCAATTCTACCTTAGAGAGTGCAATGCTAGAGACATAGGTAAAAGCTTACAAGTTCTCCATGGTGTAGACAACTTGTCGCACTTCAAATTGTCCTGTGCTCCATCGAGACTAGCACGGAGAAGTACTAGAACAGAATATAGAATAGACAATGCATATTCATGTACTTGTAGATTCAAGAGATGAAGAAATAATGATGGGAAGTTGTAAAAGAAATGCGAAACCCTGATGTTGTTGGTCATGATGAGACTAAAGACAATGTCCCGAAAAAATAAGGAGACAGAGTTGATTGAAATAAGTTTTAACAAAATATGCTCCTGCAGAAACCTTAAATGTTTCTTAATTATGTGGGTTTTAAATTGATGTATTTTGTTTCTTTAATATTTTAAGTCAGGTTATTAAACATGGTGTTAATAAGAGCATCTTCTTTTTAACACAGATAAAAGTATCCACTGGAAAATTTAGGTGTGCCCAAGGAATGGAGAGAGAAATAGAAGAGAGCAAGCAAAAGTTACCTGCAACATCAGAGGTTAGAAGATACAGACTAAATTAGAACAGAACCCATCCACAAAAAATGACATTTTGATGTAAATCCTGTTTAATGTGCATAAAAATTTCTTGAAGTGATCCTCTATGTGTGTGTACAAGGGGCTACATCAGTGAAAAAACCAAATGATCACATGTTAAATTTGCAAAACTACAAATTGAATACTTCATTTACACTTTGTTTGGTTCAAGGAATTTGAAAGGGAAAAGAAAAGCAAATGAATTGGAAAACAGTTTCTCTTGTTTGGTTAGAGGGGAAAAGAAAGGAGAAGTGGAAGGAAAAGAAAATGAGAAGGCAAAATGTACCAAGTGGAGGGAAAACCAAATTCCTCCCATTTTGGTAAGGAAAATGAGAGAAAATCATTCTCTTCTTTTCCTTCCATAATCCTTGAACCAAACATAGTGTTAAGCTTCAAAAGTCACAAACTCTCATAAAAAGGATATACTGGTACGTGATAACTTTATGTTGAAAAATATAGTGAAGCCATCTAAATAAAATTCAGAGAAACATGGGCTAGAATACCCTACTAGATTGTCAAGTCTTTTAAAATATAGAAGTGCTGAAACCAAAGTACTACATAGTACACAGATCATAAAGGTGACCATGATTTTAGAAAACAACTGCTAAAATGAGTGTTTGAATGAAGCAGAAAATACATATTCTGGTCTGAAAACAAACAGTAACTTTTTGCTAGAATAAAAATACGTCATTTGCTTTTGATTCTGGAACCTCACAAGAACCACCGGGTCCAAAACAAAAAGATTGAAGCATTTATGATGGTATCTGCAAATTGAATAGGTAAAACATAAAAACCTTTTATTTGAAAAAGAAGTTGTGGACAATGAGGTAAAATCGAGTGTTTAATTAACTACGTCCCACAGCTCCATTACAACATGAAAGTTGTAGAAGAGCATTTGTTAGAAAAGATCCCCCAGATACTAAAATATAGAAGCATGAGATCTATAGAAGCATGAGACCAGTAATTCATCAGCAATGGCTTCACATCTGGACTTACCTTAGCTGGACAGCAGGTCAGTTTATAAAACATATAAATTTACAGCTTCCAGAAACGTATTATAAATTCATTATGAACAGCTGATAAAACATGAATAGTCCAGGCATCATAGGAATCTCAGATGGTATGCAAAGAAATATAAAATTCAGGTATAATACAATCTTAGCTAATTAGTATCTTGTGGGATCATGATCATTCCATTTTAATATTGCGCTAGGAGTCTAAAACCTTCATTCAATATATTAAAACCAAGATATAAATTCAACTTTGAAAGAAAACAGTTTCACCACTCAAATTGGCTTTTAGATATAAAGGGATCCTAGTTCCTTGTATCAGAGTTCCCAGCTACGAAATTGTGACATACTAATACCTGTCAAAACCTAATATATTTTTTCAATGCAACAATATTTCCAATGGTAGATGTTTCTTTTCAAATTCTAAACAAAAAGCATATGCCATAATATGCATCTGGTAACTCTTTTAGCTAAAATATTTGGTTCAATTGAGAAACGTTTTTTAATAGTGAGTAAGAAAAATATTCATTTAAAACCAAAAACTGAAAAAAAAAGCCAGCAAAATTTTTAAAAGGCTGATATTACAAAAATCCAGAAATAAAAAAATTATCTCAATTGAGATTATTTTAATTATATCAACATAAAAAAGGTAACATTTTATTTTTCAAAGTTCAAACAAGTCCAAATCTGAGAGAAAACAATCAACTTTCATCACATGTCTCATACAGTTCGTTCTAAGGCCAATTCATTTATAAGAAACATATTGTGTGGGTTTTTTATATGCATGATGAAAGAAAATAAATGGACCACGCTTGATTCATGTAAGGACCATTCTCTAACCAAAAACCACTTTAAGCATTTGAAAGCACTTAATTGAAGGACAAATTATGAACAAAAGGTCAAGAATAAGATACCTTTTGCATGGCCTAATGACCACGCCAGGGGGCACCACCTTGTGGCCTCACTCCTCCCTGACCCATTGGTTGGTTCTGATATCCTCCTCCCTGCACTCCGGGATGACCAGCATATCCTCCTGATGTAGCACCCTGAGACCCATATCCCGATGCATTGTTCGCCACAGGTGGAACTCCATGAGGGTTCACAGGAAGTCCCCCGAGTAGATTGCCAATGCCAAGTCCTGCTGCTGCAGGGGATGTTAGCAATGCAGTCAGTGCCTGTCCAATGGCTGGGCCCATAGCTGGATTAATCCCAATAGATGGTGCGGCTGGGGCCATCAAATGCCCTGCTGAAGCATTTGCACTCCCTCCACCACCACCAGAATACTTTCCCTTCTTTGCAGCATGCTGATAATACTGTTGTTGCAGATGATGTTGAGGATAAGATGTTTGCTGCTGGTGTGAATAACCTTTTCCCTGCTTTGGCCCATCAATTGCCTTCTGACAATTCAGTGTATGCCCCTCAAAACTCTTTTGAGGCTCCTCCAGTGCCTTCTTTGCACTCTCAATACTCTTGTAAACAAACAAACAGAAACCTTTCGGTTTCCCTGTATTCTTGTCCAATCCCATAGGTCCTTCTTCAATCTCACCATACTTGGAAAAGAACTCATATAACTTCTTGGGGTCCAAGTCTGCTGCAACATTGCTAACAAATATCTTCCTCTGAGTATACTCAGACACAGGCGGAGAGGTTGGAGGCGGAGCTGGCACTGGACCAGTTGAAGCAAGCTGACAGGATGTGGTCCTGGAACCAATCTTCTTCTGGGGCTCTTTCAAGGCATTTCTTGCTGAGCTCCTGTGCTTGAAAAGTATAAAGGCGTAGCCTTTTGACTTCCCCGATACCTTATCAGTGACGGCCTTGCAATCCTCAATCTCCCCGTACTTTCCAAACACAGTAATTAGGGTTTCGGTTGTTGTATCCCAGCCAAGACCATGAACAAAAATCTTCCTGTGTGCGGGATCTTTGTCTGCCCATGTGTTAACGTTTTCCCTGAAATCAGGGTGTTTGGACACAGCCTCCTGAACCAGGGCTTTGAGTTGCTCCTTGGAGAAGGGCTCCAGAACTTTATCCAGTGGCTCATCGTCAAATACCTCCGTATCTATAGCCTTCTTCTCCTCCCCGTTAGCTTTTCCAGTTGAAACATCATGGGCCACCTGGTTTTCTTTGCCAGTTTCAGCATCTGTGTTCAATAGATCCGCTTGCGTATCTTCTCCTTCGTCCTCTTCCTCCTCTCCACCGTCAAGATCTGCATCTTCTACTTCCTCTTCCAATTCTTCCTCTGCCTGTTGTTCCGGATCTTGATGGGATGCTTCAAATTGGAGATCCGATTCGAGTTGTTGCTGTAGCTGTTGAATTTCGACTGGCTCTGGTTCTGGATCGGCCGTAGGCCGACTTGGGGCTCGGCTCTTTCGCTTCTTAGCCATGGCGGAGTAGAAAAAAGGTAGGGTTTCGGATTAGGGTTTCAGCGAACGGGAAGAGAAGAAAAGAGAGGACGATGAAGATTTGAGGGTTCGTGACATAAAGGTCTAAGGGCACCAATATTTATTAACATGTAGAGGCCCATCGGGCCAACCCGTCAAAGTTAAACAAAAAGACCAAAGCTAACAGTACATATTGTTATATTCATCGAGTTAGTGTTTTTTACAATTTTTTAATACTTATAAATTTATACTTTTATAAACCAAAAAAACCGAATAAAACCGAAGTAAAAACCATATAAAACCGAACCGAATAACCAACGGTTTACATATTTTTTATACAAAACTGAACCGAACAACCAATTTAACTTCCGTTTTGTCTTTGGTTTTGGGTGAAAACCAAACCGCAAAAACCACCCCTACCTAGGGGTGAGCATGGTACGGTATGGTACGGTATTTAGCTCGTACCGATACCGTACCAAATATTTCGGTTCGGTGTGGGATTTTACTCCGTACCGATCTCGTTCCCGAAATATCGGTTCGGTATATTTCGGGATGGTTCGGTGTCGGTTTTGGTACAAATCGGGATGAAGATACATACATACTATACACGTTAAAAATTTAACAATACCCTTTTATTTTTGAAAATTAAAAGTGAATTTAAATAAAAAACATGAAAAATTAAAAAAATGATTATTTAAATGCAAGAAATGCGTATCAAAAACTTAGTTTATATTTCACAAACTAAAAAATGAATGACAACAATTGAGTATTTTGAATCTTTGTGAATACTTTTATGCTCATACACAATAATTAAAACTCAAATAAAAATGTATTTTACACATAATAAAACTTGAACCAATTTTTTTTTAAAAAATTATAATTTAGTGAAGGAATATATAAAAATATTACTCCGGGGTATTATTTTTATAATATTTTAGTATATATGTTCGGTACGGGATTTTCGGTATGGGAGTCACCTCGTACCGTTCCCGAATACCGTACCGACCATTCGGTTCGGTACGGTTCGGTTCCTTCTCGGTACTTTTTCGGTTTGATATTTTTCGATTCGGTATTCTCGGGTTTTTCGGGAAATTTCGGTATCGGTTCGGTACATGCTCACCCCTACCCCTACCCACCAACATCAAACAAAATCTCAAAGTATATTTGGTTGGAGATGAGTAGAGATTTAAAACATGTTCTTTAGGACTATAAAAAAAGAGTTGGATGTTAGAAATAAACTGAAAGAAATTGCAAAAAATTGGTAGAAACTCGAAGAAACTAGGAGAAACTAAGAGTAATAGATAAAATTGAAAGAAACTCGAAGAAATTGAAAGTAACTGGAAAAAATTAAATGAAATTGAAAAAAACTAGAAAAAATTAGAAAATAAAAAAACTTTAAAAACTTTTTTTTGTATATTTTTATATTATTCTCATTCTAAATATTGTTGTTATAAATTATTAATATTATTATTGTTGTTGTTGTTTATGTTGTTGTTGTCATCACGTTATCTTAATAAGTGCATTTAAGATATAAAAAATATTGTTATTTTTCATATAAAAAAACTACTTTTGCAAAAAAAATTAATTAAAATATAAAATTATCATATATATCAAAATGTTAAATTTTCAAAAGTTAATGTGGTTACGTTGCACGTCTCTTTATTTATGTAGTATTTATCATAAAATGATATGATTGTAAGTATGTTTTATATATTACAAGATTTTGTTTTAAATATAAGACATGTCACATAATGTGATTAGTGTGAATCTTAAAATAGTGAGAATAAAAAATGAAATAATGTAACGCTCCAAAACATACCCTAAAATTATTAATGAACAATTATGTAATTAATCAATTTTTTTTATTAAAATATATTATTGTTGGGCTTTGGGCTGAAATAAAATGTGTTTTGATATCCAATATCACAATCTGGATAAATCTCATAGAGATAAATCCAATATGTTGACTTATTGTGTGATCTTAATTGGGAACCAGAGTACGAACCCAAATTAAAAATAAATGAATAATTTGTTTATGACGTGAACATTGAAATGATAAATCATGAGAATAAATAATATAAATTGGATGAGAAAACCTTTCTGAGTAAAGGTTAATTAAATGAATTTTGACTCTGTCAAAGTCAAATACCCAAAAATATGATGTCAGAAAAAGTAGTACAAATACATATAAAAATTATGGCATTGGATAGATCGAGTTTAATTATCCGATCGCAACGGTGCAAACGGATTTCAATTCGGAGAAAGTTGGACCAAAAGATGTACCTCGACTGGGGGGTTGGGACCAAAAATAGTCCCAATCAGGGAGTGGCATGTAGGAATCTCCAATATCGCACTGAGACGTTCCCCGATCGTAGAATTGCCGAAGGAAGATTATTGCAGTGACAACCTTGGCATCTTCTCCTTTCTTCTCTCTATATAAGGAGAATGCAACTTCTCCATTTCTTCACCGAAACTTTCAATTTCTTCTTCTATTCTCTTCTTGGTTGAGAGAGTGCAGTAGTACTATCAATTTGGTGAGAGGACGTTGGAGCTAGCCACGAACCTCGCCAAAAATTAAGCTCGAGGTAATCCCGTAGATATATCTAATGACTAGAATGTTCGTATAAATTGTTTTTACGTTCATATATAAACGGTCTTTGGTTGAGTTTTGTGCTTGACATGTTTGAAGAACCAAGAATCATAAACCATGAAATTGTTGTTAAAACTATGAATTAATGATTCCAAAATGATCTTAAAACCTGGAAAAAATTTCTATATAGTTTAGATTAAGTTCGGTAAATAAAAATGGCATTTTCGAAATTGGACTGGAACGAAGAAGATGTTGAATAGTGATCGAAAAATACATATGATGGATCGATCCAGGGAGGTGGATCGATCCCCTGGGTATGCTTCCTCTAAACATGGATCGATCCAGAGTGCTTGATCGATCCCCTGAAATTTTGCTCCAAAAATACTTCCGAAAATGATATTTTTGAGCTCTAAAATCCTATTTTTGATATCAATTAATTATGAATAATGTAAAGATGATTTTTACCATGAAAATGATTTTTTTAGCAAATAAATGTTATGTGATGCATGACTGTAAGCTAGGGTGTTAACACTTGAAAACCAGGTCGTTATTTGCTCTTGGATGTTATGTTGATTGATGGTTATGATGAATGATTATTATGGATGATTATGAATGATGAACCTACTGAATAAAATGATTACTTATGATTGAACTATGAGTAAAATGAATACATTGATACTTATGAAATAATTTGTATTGTTAAAGATATCTAGAAGAACTCTAAGATATACCCATTTAGATAATTGATGTTAAGGCTATCTAGAAGACCTCTAGAATATATCTCGTATTAGAACAGACTTATGAAAATATGAATATTCGGTGATTGGATAAAAATGTATAAAAGGGATTTATAGATCAAACTAGAAGATCACTCGTTTGGGAATACCCCGATCTGACGTTGATTAGTTGCTATATTGTTGTTGCCTTAACTGACTACAGTTAAGAGTTTGAAAACAATTGCCTTACACTAATGATAGTTTAAGTATCTGATTATTAATTGCCTTTTTAAAAGTCTGGTTAATGGCCTTAAACTAGCCATAGTTTAAGAGTCTGGTTATGAAAATTATAATTTGGCCTTAGACTAAGAATAGTTAAGAACGTGTTATGATCTGGCCTCAGACTAAGAATAGCTAAGAGCGTTGTTGTTATGTGACCCTAAATTAAGAATAATTTAATAGCACGGTCGAATTAATATTTGAATTGAATAAAATACGTTGATGTGAACTAAACAATATCAAAATTGTGAATGTCTGAATCATAGTTTTAAAAACTGAACCGGACTGGCCGGTTCGGACGGTGAACCAGCGAACCGGTGGTCCAACCGGTCCGGTCCAGCCCTTTGGACCGTAACAAAGCATAGAACCAGTGCAAATCGGTGGGAACCAGTGTGGCCGGTCGAACCGGTCAGACTAGTTTTTTTTGTGATTTTTTCCAAAACATGGGGGTTTGAACCTAAGACCTCTTAGACATTTGGTTGAGTTCTTAACCATCCAAGCAAGGGTGCTTTTTCTAACAAGTTCATTTAATCTTTTATAATATTTCATAATTAAAAAAAGATTGTATAAAAATCCTTTTTAATTTTAAAAATATAATATTATATAGGTATGAGTCAAACACAAAATCATTGATATTATTACAAAATGCATATCATGCAAAGATTTCATTTGAGCGTTTTTTATATTAAACAACTTATTTGAAGGGAAAAAAAATCAACTCTTCATTTATAAAATTTTAAATATTCTTTTTCTAATATGTAAATTTTATTTTTTAACTAAGTAAAATAACTCCAGTATATTAATATAATTTTAGTCAAATGTTATAAATTACTTTCTTTAGATATTTATAAATGAGAAAGTGTGCGTGTCTATATGTATGTGTGTTTGTGTGTGTGTGTGTGTGTTTATATATATATATATATATATATATATATATATATATATATATATATATATATATATATATATAAAATTTTTAAATATGTTTAAACCACCGGTTCGACCAGTGAACCAGTACCTTGACCGGTTCGGTCACCGGTCCGGTTCTGAAAACCATGGTCTGAATTGAACATTGTGTGCACAATATCAAATGATTTAATTATGAATTTAGAATAAATTTATATGGATGTTCGACGCATTAGATATGCTTACTCAGATTCAATGTTGAGCGTTTAGAATGTTTTATTTGCTACACGTAGGTAAACAGAAAAAACAATGTGATTGTAACACCCCAGCCCCCACCCTAGCCGTAAGTGTCTGCTCATAGCATTGTAGACTGGCCCCACAAACCAACACAAGTCTTTCCCGCACACTTTGTCCTCACTCGTGCGCGCCCCAGGAAACTTCCCAAGGGGTCACCCATCTTAGAATTTCTCAAGGTCAACCACACTTAACTTTGGAGTTTCTAGTTGATGAGCTCTCGAAAAGAAAATGCACCTTGTTGGTATGAGTAGTACTATCAATCCTTTTGATCTCTTCCCATTCCCATCTAAATGCGGGGTATTACA